AACCTCTAATGAACCTCAGCAATATGGAGCAGCTTTTCACTACATACTTTAGGTTTGAAATGCAAATTAAGAGGGAGGGAGAGAGAGAGACTCGTCACCCTGGAAAAGCATCTAGAGGCTTTTTAAAACATTCTCCTTTAACTGACTATAAGGATAGCCCAGCCACATGGATTTATTTCCTGAATCACAGCAAAACATTGCCCATTTTTCTTCTTTTTGCCTAGAAATCCTGTATTTTATGTCACAATTTATGATATAAATTAGTGCAACTCCCACAGCGCAGAAGGTCATTCACAAAAGTCATTTATTCTGGGAAACCATTGATGGCACTGCATCAAATATCCCAACTCAGTTTCCAGAAGGAGCATAATAAGGAGTTTCTGACCTCTATAAAGAAGTTTTTACTTTTATAGGGGTTTCTTTTAGCTTGACCAAGGTAAAGGTTTCTCTGAGGGGCTGCACTGGCTACCGGTGCCGTGTTGGGTGCTGCTGATCCTGCCAGTGTCACCCCCCTGCCCGGGCACTGCCACCTCTGTGCTGGTGTCCCAGCAAATCCCACATGTCCCCTGTGTGACCAGACCATGCCTGGGGCAGCAAAAGAGCAGCAGCACCTCTGCACAGCCTGAGGTGACAGCTCTGCCCTTTCTGCCTCCTGTTCTGTCTCCCTCGGCCGCAGGTTTTGTACAGGTGGAACAGGCAGAGCAGCACGTCTGTCATAGAAACAAATAAAACCTCAGTGGAGCTGTCCCTGCCCTTTGATGAGGATTACATCATCGAAATCAAACCCTTCAGCGACGGCGGCGATGGCAGCAGCAGCGAGCAAATCCGAATCCCGAAGATATCCAGTAAGGATGGGGGGGTTTGGGCTCTGTGCCACGGGGTCCCAGCAGCAGATATTCCAGTCCCCGCTTCTGATTTCATCCCAAAAGCAAGATTCAGCCATAAGAAACGCCATCCTAAGTAGTTCTATTTGTGTTCAAGGTTTCCAGACACTTTCCCCTCTAGTTCCATGCAGTGAATTTATTGTTTCACTGCCATTCACTGTAGCCAAATACAGGATGCAGAGGCTTCTGAATCTGTAAGGGCTACTGTACAGCCACATCCCACAGTGTGCTGGATGCATAAATATTTATTTAGGGAAATGAGGTGGTGTAGAAGAACAAACACAAAGCGTATTTTATTACACGACATGGCTTTTGCAAAATCTCCATGTCCCATCTTCCATTAATAATGTCCCAGTTTATAAGCTGCATTAAATCAGGAGCCTCTGCAATGCAGGAATATGGCATTAAAATGAGAGTGATGTAAAAAAGCCCTGGGTGAGAGCAGAGTTCTCCCCACCGTGGCTGTGTAAACCATGCAGAGGAATTTAATCAGCAGCACAGGAGGGGCGAGGGGAGCTGGAACACTCCAGCCCCCATTTGGCTCCAGGCCGTGGGTGACAGAGCAGGTACAGGGCTCCTCTGGGATGGGGGTCACCAGGAACAGCTGGGAGATGCTGCAATTGTCAAAAAATACCAAATAATGACAAGCAGGCAGCGTGTGAAATGACAGAACTGTGAGAGGAGGAGCCTCAACACAAGGGGGACAGGAATTGAAACCAACAATTCAGCTGGACACAGTGAAGAGGAGGAGGGGGCTGTGCATGGGGGCTGTGCCTTATCTGAGGAATGAGAATTCAAGCTTTGGATGGGGTGGGTTAAAGGAGAGTTTAGGGATTGCTCTCTGCTCACCTCTGGCTCCTTTTCCCCCTCTCCCCTCTCAGATGCCTACGCCAGAGGCTCGGGCTCGTCGACCTCCAGCGCCTGCACCCTGTCAGCCCTCAGCACAATCATGATCTCCCTCACAGCCCGCTCCAGTTTATGACAACAATGACATCCAGGACTTCTTCTTTATAATATAAGCAACATTTAGCTAGTTGTTTTGGAGACACCCAGTACTAAGTAATATTGTGGTTTGAGTACATCTTACTACTGGAAAAAAAAAAATGTTTATGCTTCTTTAGGAATGGCATTATACAGTACTTCCTCAAAGCAAATATAGCTTTGTCTGAAGTTTCCTTGGAAACTCTGCAATGCACTGAAAACATCTGTAATACGATGTTACCAAAGCAGTTTACATATGTCCTTATATGCATATTTTTTATTATATATTTAGTGTTTTATAGAATTTTTTAAAGTTAACATATGATGTAGATATTAATTTTTTTCCTCTGCTATAAAATGCTACGGACGACATTATCACGGAAATATTGTTTGGGATTTTTTCCTTTACGGCGGAGAGTTCCAAGTTGTTCTTGGCAAATTGGCTGGAGTTGACTGTACAGAACTGACCCAGACCCAGATTGTAACAGGCTGAGTTTCACTGGCAGCTCCTGAGTTCAGCTAACACACGTTTTATCCAGAGCTCTGAGCAGGACAAACTTGAAACGCCCACAAGAGCAGGATTTTGGAAATCCCCACCTGGTTTTTGGCTGGTTGTGGACTACAGGACACGTAGCCGATATTCAAGCACCGTGCAGCGAGGAGGGGCTGTGAAATTTGTTTTGTCTTGATCATAATTAGCATTAAATTGGGTGGGAAAACGAGGATCCTGCAATGCTGTGACCTCTGCCTGCGGTGACGCAACGGGGGCGTTGGGAGCACGCCCGGCTCGACCCTTTGGAGATCTAATTCCAAGGAAATTCCGCGTGTTTGGGGATTAATTCCAAGGAGATCAGAGCATGGCCACTCTGAGACAGAAAGCTGCTCTGGGCTCGTTCTTTGGGACACAACTCCTCATCCTTGGTAACTCCAGTCTCCAGACAACGCTTGGGAATCAAATGCTGCCCCGGCTCCAGGCGATGCGCGGAAAAGTGGGAATCTCCCGGGGATCCCTGCTGGAAGTTTGCCTTTCCTTACAAACTCTTCCCAGATTCCTGGAGGCAGAACAGAGTCACACCAGAAAACGACACTATCCACACTGGAATAATTCTTCTCAAGAGAAGGACTGTTTGTTACTACGGGGAATTTTGTAAGTTCAGACGGGATAACGCTGGAAAAGGCAACGGAATTTTCTATACAATTTTCAACTTTCAATGCGCTGCAGTGGTATTTTATTTTATTTTTTTTCCTCCTGATAGCTTGAATTTGCCTGTAACTTGTCTTTTTTGCTTACAAAATAATACAGTTAACTTTTAAACCTTCTAAATATATTTATTCAGTAACTCATAATCAGGATTCCACTTGTGTAAAAGTCAGGGGTGTTGACCAGAGAAATATTGTCAGTATTTCAAGCTGTGTTCCTTTCTTAGTTTGATATGGTTACTTCTATGTAAAAAAAAAAGTAAAATAAGAAAAACCTTAAAAAAAAATAAAAAATCCACAAAACCAAGAAAAATGAAATTATAAAAAAAAAGCTTCTGTAGTTTTCTCCCCGGTGTAAATGATATTTATCAGTGATCTAGCAGATGTAATCTTTTTTTAAAGGTATTGGTAATAAATATTCTGTCATTTGTAAAGATACATGTCTTCCAGGAGCCTTTTTCCTCCACTTTTTGTTCTGCCCAGTGAGAAATTTCCCCTCAGAGCCTGCTGAGACTGTCACTGATGTGAAGATACAAGAGTTGGTTTAAATCAAAACTTGACGGGAGAAAAAAAAAAATCTATTTATACACCTCTGATTTAATTCTGCTCCCAAAAGTGACCGAAAATGTGAGCAGGTGAGTTTTGGGATGGTTTTGTAGAGCTGTGAGCTATCCAAGCTGATGGGGACGGTGCTGTTGGAGCATCTCTGACCCTGTGGATGCAGCAAAACCCTTCCAGGCACTGCCTCTGCTTATCCTGGGGATTCCTGAGGATTTGGGGAGCACGGCTTGAAAGCACTAAATCCACCCAAGGCACATTTCTAATCCTTCCAGGGGCAGGAGTTGGACGGTGCTCGCTGCATTCCAAGGAGAAATGCTGCACTTCGCAATCAATGGAGCAGAAAAAGAAACCGGGCCCGTAGCACAATTCCATTTTTAAAAGGAAAAGTAAATTTGCCATTTCCAGAGGCAGGTGAGGAGCAGCTCCTGGGGATGCTCTCCTGGAGGCAGCAGGGAAAAGCTGGGCTGGAGGAATGAGGGGCTGGGAGCTGGTTTGAAGGGAAAAAATGAGGAATGAATAATTCTGTGCAGTGGGAGTTAGGGGCTGGAGATCTGGTGTGGTGCTGCCAAAACCTGACACAGACACTGGCCTGGGATCCTGGACAAATCCCTTTTCCCTTGTGCTGCCTGGGATGAAGATTTTCCTCCAGGGATTGTGACCATGAGGAGAAGCTCAGCCAGGAAAGGTCCTCATCCTGCACCCTCCAGGATGTGAGATCCCACCCTCACCTGCCACTGCAGGAGCTGCAGCCTGGCTGGGGAAATGCAGCTACTCCTGCTTTACACCAGCTTGGATTTATTTACTAGCATGAGTAGAAGTGTGGCTGCTGGCTCTCCAAGCCATCCAGCCCTGCCTGTCCCCGTGAGGACTCATCCTGGAAATAACAAGGTCCTGACATGTAAAATATATTTAAATAGATTGCACTCACCTCTGCAACAGCTTGCCATTAATGGGAATGGGGTTTTACATAGAAAACTTATTTATTAGGCCACTGGAAGGCATGACATAAAACACATTCCAGTAAGTGAATTCTCTTTAGTCTTGTTTTGAGGATTTTACTAATGAAATTCTGATTTTAGAGTGTTAAAGTTGGGCCCCTCAAATCCATTAAAAGCACATGCAGGAGAGACATTGGAGGCACAAGCATTATATTAATGAGCAAATTAATTTTGATGGAGCAATGCTACTTCACCCAGATGAGAACTGGCTCATTTATTATAATTATTTTTAGTCTGTAGTACCTGGGAACTCCATTTCTTTAGGCACCTTCCGAAGGACTTATTGGCTGGATCAAATCTTTGTTTTTATTCTTTGTTAACATGTTTAACCCAGCTCCATTTTCAGGAGGTGTCTTGGAATTAACTGAGGCTGTCTCAAACCCAGGCCATCTAAGATGGAACAACACAGAGCAAAGAAAACCAGGCTGCAGTACTGGGCTTGGATTTTCAGAATTACTGGAGTTGCACACCCAGGAGGAGCCCAGCTCGTTGCAGCTCAGACTCTTGAGAGCACCAGGCAGTCCTTGGCACATTTCTTTAATGACTTCACATTTGCAAACTCCCTGTTCCCAGGCTGCTTTGTTTTGTCGGTGCAATTGAGGAAGTTTATCTGTTTATGCCATTTTTCTCTTTTTTTTCCTTTCTTCCCCACTGAACCTTTAATTTCTCATGGCAGGAAGCACAAACAATCCCTTGTTGAACTCCTGCAGATGCTGCCAGCCGATGTCAGAGCCTGAAAAAGAGCCTTGGATGGGAAAGGAGCCATGTGTGAGTGCCCTGTGCCTGCCCAGTGCTGAGGTCCTGTGGAGCAGGGGATCCCACCCATCCCAGCAGGATTCCCTCTCTCAGGTGTGGAAGAATCACAGGTGAAGTTCTGCTTTACACTGAAATGTGATACCTGAGTGTACAGAAGGAGCAGGCACAGTGTAGCTTTGCTTATAGGAGCAGCACAAGCAAAGTTTGTTTTAAATAACCTACAACATCCAGAAGTTGTTGGTGTTTTATAAAGTCCTGAGACAGATCAGAGAACCACAGAGTATTCTGAGTTGGACAGGACCCACAAGGATTGAGTCCAGTGGTCCCTACAGGGATTGAAGCACACCCTTGGTGTGATCAGCACCACGCTCTGGCCAGCTGAGCTGATCCCAGGTGTTCCCCTCCATCCCAAAACGGAGCTGTGTCACTGCCAGAGCAAGGTGAGGTGCCTTTCAGCAGTGCAGAGGATGCTGGCTGTGCACAGTCCCCACACAGGGTGGTCTGGCACACTCAACTTGATCCAGGAATTTCATTTCCATGCATGTTTTTCAGGTGGAAATCCACAGTTTCATTACAAAGCGTATCAGCAAAGGCCAGGTGAGCGTCCCTGCTGTCATGGTGGCCTTGCTGTGCAGCGCTGGGGGTGACAGCACTGGGTATTTCACAATTTTTTTCTTCTTTTCCCAGTGTTTGACCACCTTGCTGCATCCACAGGGCCATGCCAAACCCAGTTTGCATCTCCAGTTGTAAAGGTAAAACAAACATCCAAAAGATTAAGCTGCCAACCAGAAAAAAATGAATCCCTTTGCTCTTTTCCAAGCTTTTTTCCCCCTGACACAGTCTTTGTGCCATGAACTTAAATCCTGCTTGAACAAGGCACCTGGTGAAGGCAAATTCTCCTCCCCACTGGGAGCAAGGCCACAGAGAGGTGACACAGAGCCCTCTCCAGCGCTGGTGGGTGACACTGTGGAGCCTCTCAGAACACGGAGTCATCGAGGACACTGCAGGAGAAGCCTTCAGCCAGGCTGCCCACCTCGGTCTCCATGGAGCTGGTGCAGGTCCGTGCTCTCTGCAAAGCAAACACCCCTTGGAGCTGGGAGCTGGGGGGGTTGGTTGGGCTGGGTAGAGCTCAGAGTTCAAATTGGTGCATTTAGAGAGGGATTAACCCAAAATGTTGCATGGTTTAGGAGCTCAGAAGCATTGGGTTCGACAGGAGGATTTTCACCCTCTGGCTGAAGCTCTCACAGAGCTGCTCATCCTCTGTCCCTCCAGCCCTGCAGCCCCAAATTCCACATTTGCCACATTTTACCACAGTGGCCACCCCTCTGCAGCCAAGGACAAAGAGCTTCTGGGGGGCACAGAATCATGGAATCATTAAGGCTGGAAAAGACCTCCAAGATCATCCAGTCCAACCACACCCAGTAAACCCTATCACAAAGGGCCACATCCAAAATCCAAGCGGGTTCTGAGCACTTCCAGGGATGGTGACTCCACCACTTCCCTGGGGAGCCTTCTGCAGGGCCTGGCCACTCTTCCAGTGAGGGATCACGGGGAATTTTTCTGAATACACGGCAGCAAAGCCCATTGATGGGGCCACACCCTGCCAGAGCTGCACAAACAAGTGTGCAGGGCTGCTGAGCTGCAGAAGGAAGCAGCAGCAGTGGCTGAGCTGTGGGAAGCCCTGCAGGGTGGCAGGTGACACAGCAGGGACCAGCAGGTTCCCACGGGCAGGGCTTTCATCTCCTCACCCTTGTTTACACCGAATTTAGGAACTGAGTGTCCCCAACAAGCAGCTGCCCTCTCCCTGGTGACCTGAGCAGGAACTCAGCAGTGCCAGCAGCCCTGTGGCTGTGCTGCCAGCAGAAATCCTCTGGCTGGTGTCACCCACCATGGCCAGCTTTGAGTAGACTGGAAACAAGGCAGTGCTGCTGCTGAGACTGTGAGCCTGCCTTTGCAAGCTCACATTTTCCAGCTACAGCATTAATATTTGTTATTTCTCATATTCCTAGCTGTGATGCCCCGAGTCGTGGCATTTTACACCATTTAATTAAAAACAAACATTATATGATAATCTTTTAAGCCTGTTTCCTTGACCAGACCATGGAACAATATGCAAAAAATTAAACCCCTGTTCCAAGGGGACAAATGAAAATCAAGTTGCTGAGCAGACCTTCCCCTGAGCAGACAATGAGGGCTTTATCTTACCTGTAAGGTAAATGTTTTTATCAGAACTAACAGCAAACGCAGAAAGGCTTAAGTCCAGCTTAACAGTAGGAGCAAAACATTTTGGATTGTTAGGCTGAACAAAATCAGCTCTCCAGGAGTCACCCTGCAGTCTCTGCCAAGGCAGAGCTCTCTGCCTGCCTAGGGAGAAACTGCATTTCCCTACAAAAGACAGAGCCATGGGTGTGCCTGAAATTCTGTGTATATCAACAAAGCACCCCACAATAGCACTTAATCCTTCTGTTCATTTTTAACCCTTCCCAAAACACAACATCTGCAAATACGGGCAGATCCAGAGCTGCAGCAGCCTGGGACCCATCCAGGGCAAAGGAAACAGCCACACAGCAAGGTGAGAATTACCACAGCAGTGAGGATGGCAAAACCAGCCTCAGGAATTGCTAAATTCAATGGGTTTAGTGAGCATGGGGTTGGACTTAATGGTCTTGGAGATCTTTTTGAGATTTAATGATTCTCTGTGCTCTCAGCCTTACAGGGAAAAAGCAGCACACAAACAAAAGTATTTATTTTAGTTTAAAAAAATAAATAAATAAAATGTTATTTTACCTCGTAGTCAATTGGGAAAAGGTCTCGGAATTTGTTGCTGGGCGTTGGGATTGGTGGGAACAGTTTCCTCCAAAGGTGGCTCCTGCAAGTGGAGGGATGTGAGAGGGTTGCTGCTCCTGGGGATGAGGAGCAGCAGCGTGTGCTCAGCCCCAGGAGCAGCCAGGGCTCTCTGCAGCCCCTCCAGCCAGGGAGAACAGTCCCCACTGGGGCTGGGCAGCTGTGCTGGGCACCTCTGGGCCCTGGGGACAGGCAGGTGACAGGAGGAGATGGGTGAGGCTGTCCCCAGCCTCTCCCTCTGCAGCTGCTCCCAGCCAGGCCAGGCTTTTCGGGCTGTCTGCAGAGAAATGAATTGCTCTGATCCGTCTGTTCACGCTCCTGCTCTTCCCAAGGGCTCTGCTGTCATGTCCCTCGTTTGGACAGCCAAGACAAGCTGCCTCGTGCTCAGGTTTGGTTTCTGGCCATAAACTGCCAGTGCCTCGTGGCAGGAGAGCAAGCACAAATAATTGTGTGCCGAGGGAGCCGGGTAGGGGAAGGCACCAGGGACGGCTGACAGCAAATGTTTCTGCTCAGTGCTGTAATAACTCATCCTGCTAACACCCCCTGAGACCCCCTTCCCTGCCTGAGCCCTGGCTGGGCTCACAGCACAGGGGTTTTTGTGATAGCAGGGGCTGCAGAGGGAGCATTTCCTTGTCTCTGATGCATCCCAGAGCTTAGAGCTCACACTCCAGCTGCTGGAACGCTCTCGCTGTCTCCAGCCCTGGATAGCACCGTGTCCAAAAGGGGCAGATTTTCATGGGAACTTGGCCTGAGTGAAGAATGCTCAGCCCAGAATTGGTACCCAGGTCTGTTCTGGAGGAAGCAGAGACGTGTTCAGGGTGTGGGGCTGAGCAAGGGCAGGTCTGCCCCTCTGCCCCGTTTATTTCATGACAGTCCCACAGCTGACTGTCGTAGGCAGGTAGAAGAATTATAAAAGAAAGGCTTTATGAAGTCAGGCCTCACTCTGCTAAAACTGCCAAAGCTGGCCTGTCATTTCTGCTAAGTGCAGCTAACAAGCAATTTGCAAGTTCCCATGTGAGGCTATTTGGAGAATGAGAAGTTTAACACAATTCTGAGGGTGAAAAACTAATGCATATGTGTAAACAACAAGATTTGTCCCATGAGAACCCACAAAGGAAAAATGTAAACATATCTAGAGAGAGAATTTGACAGACATACACAGTAGCCCTTAGTGCCCAATTGAGTTTTACTGCATCACTGGCCAATTAGGTTTATCACAGTGCCTTCAGATATTTCCTATCAATATGAGCTTTGTGAATAAAGAATTGGCTTTCTGCATGAAGAAAATGGAGTCTCACTGATTTATTCCAACAGCTGATGTCTGCTTAGTTCGGTGCTTATGTTCTTAGGACTATTCTTCTTCCAGAAGCTTTCTGAGGTCTGTCAAGTTTACCTTTATCCTATTACTATTCTCCTGGTGAGGAGGAATAATATTTTCTGTCTATCAGCTTGGAGCTAAACCTTCCTGGCTGAGCTGCTGCTGCCGCCTTGAAGGTGACATTGATGCTTCAGTAATGATCAGGGGAAGGGAAGGGCCACACCACTGCCCACCCCACAGACACGAGCTGTGGGGTGTGTCCCCTTGCTGCACGGGATGAGCCTTTGTGAGGGAACTGCACAGCCACAAATGGGAATATGGGCAGGAAAAACAGGGTGTGAGGTGTTTGGGGGGAAACATTTCCACTTTTTTGTTGAAATGCTGGACACAGCAGAGCCAGGCTGTTTGCTCCTCACCACTGGGGTGGGACAGGAAAGCGGCTGCTGCTGGAGCTCAGGAGGAGGAAGATGAGTGCCAATATTGTTATTGCAGCATCTGGCATCATCTCCATCATCTCCCAGCTCTCCTCCTAAGGGTCAGGCCTTTGTGCCCTTACCCAGGGTAGCTTTGCACTGCTGGCTTCACAGCTCCAACCACCAGCTCTCACACTTCTCAAAAGGCCACATCATTCCACCTGCAGCTCGTTTCAGCTCTGATTTATGCCACTGCTGTGCCGAGTACCCAGCAAGAGTTGGTTCTACTTGGACTTGGCGTGTCCCTTGTCATGCTGTTTGCCAATAAAAGATTTTGATGGAGCCATATCAAAATTATTTATTGAGGCAGCAAAAAGCATAAATTACACATCACTTCTGGAAGGGGAACACTTAAGAAAGGGTGCCCATGAGTAATGAGGCAGAAGTGTGTCCATGGGGACTGCTTTGCAGGGAGGAGTTGCTGGGGTGGTGCCCTCAGAATGGTTCTGTTCTCTTTTGGAGGTTACAGAAAAGTCGGAGTTGTGTCATTAAAGATCTTGTGACAAAAAGCATCCCAGGTGTCTCTCTCTACACAGGTTAAGGCATTATCACTGCTTGGACCTTCAGACCTTGGACACACCCCACAGGACCCCCGTGCCCTAAATCAGCATTGCAGGGTCTCTGCGTTTCGTGCTGTGTCTTTCTGAAATTTCCACTCTTCCCACAGGCTGTGACATGAAAAAGGCAGAGGTAAGCAAAGAGAAACAAGCAGGAGAACAAGCTCTCCTCGCTCTGTGGTGAGATTGAGGAAGTGTTTGTTTTAACTCTAGGTCACAGTGCCTCCCCTGAGATTCCCCGTGGAGTTTTCCCAAAGCTGGCTGGTGGCTCGTGGGCTGCTGAGGGGTGAGGAACAGGGGGGATCATGTTCCACACTGATTTTGGGCTGTGGGCAGCACTGAGTGCCCTGATGCCAGAGCAAGTTACTGACTCCATCCTCCTGTGGGCTCACCTCCAGGAGAAAATGATATTCCTGGGGAAGTACAGAAGCTGCTCACTCCAGGGCAAACCAGGCAAACATTCAATTGTGGTTTTTATCAAGTCTCTAACCCCATCAGCCTCTGCAAGTGAGCGAAGGGAAAAGCCTGTCCTAAGGGTCCCAGAGGGCCCCTTTGCCTTGCAGCACTCCTCCCAAATGCTGGGCTTTATCCCTGATGCCTGCAAGTGCACAGAAAAATTCATAGACCTCTTTGCTGCAATGAAATTCCTTATAATGGCTGCAAATCGCATGGAATTTGAAACGATTCCGTGGCTTGAATTGCAGAGTGCACTTCATGAATTTTCAAGAGCAGTAAAAACAGAGAGAACTAATGAAACTGATCTGGGAAACCTGCTCTGTTTCTCTTTTTTTTTAATATCTGCAGGTACAGCCCTGTGCTTCATCTTCTTACACTTCCCCATCCTCCCAGGGCAGGCTGGGGATTAGAGAAGGAGCAGGAGCAAGGAGCAGCAGGGAAGGGTGGAATAAGGTGAGCAGCTCCATGAAATTCAGTCTAGCAGGGAGGTAAAATTTTGATGAAATTGGCAAAGAGAGAAGTAATGAGCCTTTGGGTGTCTGGGAATTTTATACTGGAGAGAAACTCCTGGAAGCAACCAAGGTAGCAGCAAGCAGCTGAACCTGGAAAAACTCCCTGAAATTTGGATTAAAATCATAAAATGCATTAGTACAGCACCTCCAAGTCGAGTAGAATTGTACCCTGGATTTATTTCTCCCCCTGTATGTGCTACAGGATCTCCAAAGGGGGTAAATGTAATATTCAAATGCTTGCAGAACTCCACAGGAAAGCACGGAGCAGTGTGACTGCTGCTAACTGGAGCTGGTTCTGCTGTCCCAAAGAGAGGAGAGAGCTGGAGAAGATGATGGGGAGAACTTCCAGCTCCAGGTCAATCCATAAAAGAAAAATGTAAGTAAGACAAATTTGGGGATTTTTAGCAAGACATCAAGGCTGCATATCCAGGAACAAGCGTGTGACATGGGAATAAACTCCCTCTGTGCTGCTGCTGCCAGAATCCCTCCTGACAGAGCTCTGCCAGTTCAGCTGCCCTAGGAACAGCTCACACAGGCAGAGTTAATGCCAGTTATCCTCTTGGAACATTCCTGCTCCTTTAAAGGCCTTTACTGGGTAAAGGAAACGCAGCAGGGGGAGTAAAACAGCCAGGGATGCATCAGGCTGGCAATAAATAAAAAGGCACTAAAGAAATTAATAAGGAATTAGCACTTCCATGAAGGGGAGCTGTGTTTGTTGTGGACTGGTAATTGCTGCTTGCTGCATGTTTCAGGGAGAAACTCCTAATTACATGGATCCTTTAATTCCTCACTTAGGATCTGACTGTCACAGACACAAATCCCACCTAGCTGGGCTTCCTCACTGCCTCACATTTGGGGAGTTTTGGCCTTTATTGTGCAGCATCCAGAGCCTCTGTTTAATAAAAATAAATTCAATATTTCAAGTACTCAAAGCAAACACCAGGGCTCTGTGTATTTTGGCCATGAGGGATGCTCTGAGAAGCTTTCACCAGGGATAAATGAAGATTCCTGGGGAAATCACTGACTCAGATGCTTTTAAGTGAAGAAATAAGGACAAACAGATTTTTAACAAATTTTAACAAATTCACCTCACTCAATACATGGGGTTGTTGTACAAGATTAAACTGAATAACTCTCTTACCTCACCAATTTTGCTGAATGTTATTGCTGATAATTAATGAGGTTCATTATTTTTGCTTTGTATATTTAGGCAAACTCAGGTTTTTCTGAGAATTAAGCAAAAGCTTGTGACATCCCCCCACACTTGTTGAATACCTGGTCCTTGGTTATATTGTAATAAAAAAAAATAAGCTAATACTTACATTTTGCATATTATAGCAACAAACAGCAATGTGCAGGACGTGGAAACACAAAGCAGAGTGAAAATCCAGACTATGGAATTCTCCAATTTATTTTGCCCTGAATTTCAAAGGAAAAAAAAAAAAATTCAATATATTATTTTAGTACAGATTATTTGAAATGTGTTTAGGATTTAAATATTGTAAATATTTCATCAGCTGTTTAATGTGGTTGTTTATTATACAAATAAACATGTAGATTTTGAAGACTTGATAAATGAGAATAAGAAATTAAATGCAGAACTTTAAGAAGAGTTTTCATGGCAGTGAATTTCTGATTTCAACAATAATTTTATTTTATTTTGATGTACAGGAGAGAACAAGTGGCTGAGAAAGTGGCAGGAACCTGTATTGTGCCAATGAACTGCAACAAGCCCTTAAAAACTCCTTTCCATGAGAAAAACTGAATTAAGTGGTCCTGTCCTTGGATATTGTTGGGATTTAAATACATTTACAGGGAAGACCAACTTGGTTTTGCCATCAGAATGAATTTTCCACTTTTGCCAGGTGGGGAGGCCAAGGGGATGTGCTGCAGAAAGGAGGCAAAACACTGAAAATTTGAATTCCTGATACAAGAGGGGGAATGTAGTAAACAGGAGAGTGTAAGAGAGTATTTTTTAAGTGAAGAGAAGGAAGTTAAGAAACACCAAAGATAAGAGCAAAGGGGGATGTCTAAGAACAAACAGCTGATAACGTGCAGTGATAAAGGAACTGTTATTTCCAGAACAACTTGTTCAGCAAGCAGGAAACACAAAACAGAGTGGGGCAAATGATCAAGCTCCAAAGATGCTAAAATCATCTTCTTTTTTCCCCCCAACATTTAAGGGGTGAGATAATTTCACTGAGTTAAATTCAAAGCCCTGTTTTCCTGATTCCTATTAAAACTCTGATGTTGGACACACTCCTGATTTAGGCAGCATTGGCTCCCCAGCCACAGGGATGCTAAAAGATGCTAAAGGATGTTAAAATCATGCTCCTTTTCCCCTCAGTGTTGAAGAGGTGAGATAATTTCAGTGAATTTTTGGTTGACATGGTCTCTCATTTTTATTTTCAGCATGAACACCACAATGAGGGCAGGGAAACACCTGAAAAAACTGAAGAGATGCAGGAAAAGGCCTTGAGTTTAAAGCAATCTTTGGACATATTCACAAAGCACTGTCTAAATTCAATGCTCCTTGCAAGGAGTTTATTTTTAATGGAATGGATTGAAATCTCCTTGGCATTAATAAGTCCATTTTATTCCTTCAAATCCCTATTTTTCCCGTTTCCTGTTAAAATTCTGGGATGTTGCATTTGCTCCCCAGCAATGGAATAATGGGAATTCTTACCAACATAAATTATTTCACTCCAGTCACTCCAGAATCCTTGGGCACGACAGATGTGGTTGTGGTTGGCCCTGATCCTTATGGAATACCTGCTGCTGCCATCGATCCCTACTCGGAATCTGTTCGAGGAGATTTTCAGGATCTGTTAGGAAACCAATTTGTGCTGTTAGAGGTGAATTAAGACTCAATCAAATTTAAATAACTTGAAATTAAAAAAAAAAACCAAACAATTTAAATTGTTTAAATTGTTAAATTTAAGCAAAAATTTAAAAACAAATTTAAATCATTTATCTTTTTATTGTTTTTATTAACTGCAAGCTGCTGGCCTTGCTTTGCAGGTTAAGAGCTTCATTTTTCTAGGTGTAACTTCTCCTAACACACCCACATTCCAGGGAAAATTCCTGAAAAATCCCTCATTTTTCCATTCTTCCTCCAGATTCTCAACACAGCATTTTCAAGATGGTAGAAACTGTCCTGAACCCAGATGCATAAACTGAATAAACCAATTTTGTCCTGCTTTCCCAGGTTCCTTGGGGATGGTTTGTTGCAGGTATAAAAGGCATTGAGGGAAAGAGGAAAGCAAATTCCAGCTGTAGAGGACAGGAATGTTGGATAATCTTGGATGCTGGAGGAGCAATTACCTGCTTGTTACCTGACTTCAGGTTGATGAGATAAAATTCATATTCAAAACATTCCTCATGGAAAGGAGAAATTGGCTTCTCCCACATGGCCAGGAGATCATTTTGCTCCAGGGATATGCTGATATTTCTGGGAATATTCACTTTCTCTGCAAAAAGAAAACCACACCGGTGAGTTATTTATAGAGACAAGTTTAAATACTAAAAACTGGAGTATTTTATAACCTGATACTGTTTCCAAGTAAGACCTATAATTATTGAATTTATTTCCCTTTTTGGACTGAAAAGATAAGGATTTAGGAGGAACAACTACATTGCTGGTAATAGTTATAGGAAAACAGTTTGGAAAGTGCACTTAAAAGTTTTGGAAAATTAGATTACTGGGGAAAGAGGAATTTATTAAATCAGTTTCCACAGAAGTATTAAATTAATGATAGAACAGTTAGGAAAACTCCATTTCCAGGAAAAAAAAAATGCAGATGTAGCCAGGAAAGTTATTGAAAAATGGAAGAAAATCAAAGGAATTCAGCTAATGTTATGGGGATGATTTCTAAGAAGAAAATATGTGATTTTTTTCTCTTAGTGAAGTCATGAAAAAGAGAACTGTTATCTGTTTACCAAAACAGAAAAAGGCATGGAAGTAATGAGGGAAAGTAAATTATTTGTGTGGATGAAAGATGATAGACAATCATGGCTGATATTCCCTTTTATTCCACATTCTAATGCCTTCCTTCACAGGACAGGGTTATCTTGAGCACCAACGTGTCTTATTCCATTTAAAGAAAGGGTGAACAATTAAAGACATTAAAAACTGTGTTTTAAGCTATATTGACTAAATAACTGAAAATTAATATTGAGAATAATGCTTTGGCTAACAAACAGAATACTAATTGCTTTTACTAGCTTTTAGTCTTGCCATTCTCTAATTTAAAATAGATGATTAAAATCCAACTTAGCTAAAACAATACAGTAATTTCTTCCAATTTGCTTAAGATGACTGTACAAAATCAACACATCCTTTCACCTGCATCAAGAACCACTCAATCCAAGAGAAATTTCCTCACATTTTGACAATCCTGCTAGGCATTTTTGATGTATTTTTTTAATGTATTCCTACTCACCAATGGCATTTTGGTTAAATAACTGTTGAAAAGGCTTGATTGCAGCACGTTTGCTGGAGCCATTAATGTGAATGACAATGAGGCTGTCGATCTCGCCAGGTTTAATCTGAGTACTTGAAAAGCTGCATTCAGCATTCCTGTTCCACTTGTCTTTGGTGTAAGCAGGACATTCCTCAGTGTGTGTCTCATACCTAAATTAAAATGCTGGTGAGACAGGGTGCTCTTAAAGAAATTCACTGCTGGCTGGAAAAGGAGCAAACACCAACCTGTAAAACAGAAAGTATTTGGTGTCTTCTGGTGCCCCTTGGCCAGGGAGCCAAGTGCAACGGAGAGAGACATTGCCAGGGATGGTGACACGAGTGACACAGGACAGGTTGGTGACAGAGGTCTCTGCAGCACCTGGAGAGGAAAGGGATTACAGAGCAGAAAAAAACCTCACTGCAAAAATCATAACAAGTTCCTGTTGCTAAAACACTTTGCTTCCAGTTTGAGACATGATGAACATTCCCAAGGCATCCAGGTCTCCTCCTGAGCACACAGCCTGTTGGGTTGGGAAGGATGAACATTCCCAAGCAGAGTGAATAAAGCTGTGCCACACAGCACCGTGTATTTCATGTGGGACAAGGCAACAACCTCCTCAGGTGCACGACCCTAGGTTAACTCAGCCTTAGCAAGGCGTTGCTAGAAAATTTTATAGGTGTTACTGACATTTTGCACCTCCAGAATGTACCCCAGGCTCCACTGCAGTAGAGAAAGGTCTGGACTAAATCCTTTCATAGCAGGTAGAGCGGAAAATGCTGTATTTCTATTTTAAAGAACTAAACCCATCACCTTTTGGTGTTAAGTCTATAGATTGGAACAGAACACAAAATGCAGCCCTTCCCTGGGTTTTCTCACCTGGCAGAGGTGGGAGGTTTCTCTCCACCCAGTCACTGCTCAGCTGAAGGTTCTCCTGGAGGAGCAAGGTCCGCACGCGAGCCGAGAAGCCGTTGTGAAGCGCCGCTGTTCGGACACTGTGAGTCCTCTTGGTGTCATACTTGAAATAAAAAACACCAAATCAACACCCCAGGGGATGGGAGGGAAAATAAGGGACCTGCCAAGACTGGGCCAGACACTGGGGTGAGTTCAGTGAGCTGAGGTGAACGGGGAGCCAGTACTCAAAGCCAGGAGCCATCCTCCCCTCAAGATGAAAGCTGCAGTTCCCAAGGCTCAGCAGAGCCCTGTCTGTGGCTGAGGGGGAATTCCAGTTCCCAAAGCATGTGTTTAGATAAAAGAGAATAGCAGGGATTTAGCCTTCTTACGATCCTTGATTTATTTTCTTCTCTCACCTCTTCTGGCACAGGGCTCAGGATTTTCACATCGTATCTGATGGTGGAGTTGTTTTGCTCCTGAGCAGGGTTTGGTTCCCAGTGTAACAGCACTTGTGCTAATGCAGAGACACTGAGGGTGAAGTTAACAGGTGGCAAAACCTGAACTGGAAGGGAGAAAACAGAAATATCCATGATTGTCCAATCCAGTGAATTGTTTAGAGTACAATACCTGTTTGCAAGCAGTGAGCAATACAAGCAAATAATTTCATTTCAATATTATATTCTTTCAACAGCTCCTTGTAAAGGATTTCTGATATTTGACCAAAAAACAAACTTTAAATAACCAGAACCCCATCAAATAAGAGTTTATTAAAGCTTAGCTCATAAAATGAAATTTTTACAACAGATTTAACTTGAAAATTACTATGCTATATTACATTTGGCTTGATAATTAGGTTCAGAGTTTTCATCTTGGTCCTCATTGTCACAGAGACATGTAAGAAACAGGGCTGATGGAGTGATCAGCTGCATGAACAATTCTCACCCACATCAGCCTGCAGGAGAGGGCAACGTGGGAGGCTTTCGAAGGGAAGGTTGACAGCCACAAGAAGTTGCATGTGAGAGTAGAACCAAAATGATGAACAGAGGAATTAAGCACAAATGGAAGAAAACATAGAAGGATGGGAACGATAATTTAAAATGACAGGGCAAGAAGGATTCCTGGAGCTCCCATGGAAATGAGGATCTCATGCTGGGGGAAATGTTAGCATATAAATAGCAGGGCAGTGAAATAATCAATCTGCTCCCCTCCAGTTCTTCAGAGCCTGCCCTCCCTCATTTGCCAAATGCAAGGCATCAGCACCCCGGGGGTGTCCCAGGCCAGGCTGGGGGTGACTCTGAGCACCCTGGTCTGGTGGAAGGCGTCCCTGCCCATGGCAGGGTGGAACTGGATGGGCTTTAAGGTCCCTCCCAACCCAAACCATTCTGGGATTCCACGATTCTCTTCTCCTGTGATTCCAGCCCTTGATGCCCAGCAGTTCAGTTTGCAAGCACACACGTTGCAGTAGGAAAACTGCTCCATAAAGGCTCAGAAAACCCCAACGCAAATTGTGTCTCCATGACTCGAGATTCTTTCCTCCCAGAGCAAAGCAGGCACCAGCTGGGAACAATCTGGGAGAGGGACCAGTCCCAGGAAGCAGGACAGCAATGGTCACCCCTGGTCCTGGGCCCACAGCGTGCCAGGGACCGCTTTATCCACGTGTAGAACCGTGCCCAGCACAGAGAGAGACCTTGGGCACCCACCAGAGCTCCACCCCAGCAGCTGGAAACTCCTCACCTCCTGCACCCTGAGGCGTGTTTGCTGTCCAAAGGAGGAGCAGGAAAACTGGCATCCCACTGGCCATCAGCTCTGGGATGGGCACAGCCAGGAATCAGCACACGTGCCCTGTCACCGTGTCACAAGAGCTAAAAATGAGCACAAACCCAAGGGTTAAACACCCAAACCATGCATTGTGATCTGTCCCCACGATCACAGGAGTGAAACTGCTGCCTTGCAGGGATGGACTCTTCTTTTCCTGCAGGAAAATGCTTCTTGTGGGGGCTAAATTTAATATAGGTACCAACAAGCACGTTTCATCTTGCTCCCTTTGCCAGCCCTCTCTGAAAAGCTGCTGGTTTCAAACTTCGTGTGGGGATGTTCAGAACATCCATGGAATTAGAGCATTTTTCCATGGAAAGTGAGTCTGGTTTGTGTAGACTGGCTTTGGAGAGAGTCACATTTCCTCCTGGAACAGAAATAACTGTATTTTTAGCTCCCACTCTATATAAAATAGCTGCTTACTGGGATTTACTTTCTTGTTACTCCTTCAATCAGGCTCTCTAAAGACACAGTCACTGCTCACCTCAAGGCTAATTCTCCACTGTTAATTATTGGGTGTAAGAGAAACTGCTTTGTTTGTTTCTAATTTAAATGCACAATAATTTTTAATGCTTAAACCCAGAATTTTCCTATGGATTGTTTCATGAATTACTGGCAGAAGAAAAAAAATCTCTGTGTAATCATTCATGTATAACCTAATATAAATATGGGCATGCAGAACAGCAGCTTTCCAAAATGTTCTTTCTGAAGAGAAATGCACCCTCCCAGCCCAATCTCACCACCTCCCTGGGGCACTACAGCAATTGCTCACATGGAAAACATAATATTTTCCAATGGTAATGAGCAGGAATAACCCAGGGACTGGAAGCACTCCCACTGATCACAGTTGGAATAATTCTGCTGTACAGTAACTATTTTTTAAAATGCAGTCTGAGTGCTGAGTTCATTAAAATGACACATCATCTACAGTGGAGTGTGTTTTTAATGTCCAAGTCCCCTCATTATCTATATTCACATTTTGTGCCTCTCTGCTTTCCTGACAGCCCAAATGTGCACGAGGCCAGCTGAAACTCGGGAGTTTGCTGATGAATTATTCCTGGGAAGCCAGGGTTTGATTTTGTCTGCATTGGGTTATGGAATGATACCTTGGCCAGGCATTTTGGTTCTCCCAAAATGTAGCAAATCACAGACAACGGGACAAATATTCTTTACAGCACACATTTATGCCTGCACAAATTACTGGCATCAGGCTTTTGCTTTGATTTACCTGATGAGACTATTAAATACGTTAATAACTTTTCTCTCTATTTAGAAGTAAAAATTCATTATCCTCACATCCTTGAAAATAAAAAGCAGCTTTGGGAAAGAAGCTTCATTAGTTTTGTTGCTGAGAGTATTCACTCTTTTTTTCCTTAGAAAAAGCAATGACTTCAGTACATTATTTAAAAAAAAAAAAAAAACAACTTTTAAAAGCCTCATGTTTTGCAAGTGCTCAGCATTCACATCTGCTTGAATAATGTCAGTGTGTTGGTCTGGGGCATTACCATAACTACAATATCTGACTCTCCCTTGGTTTTATTTAAAGTGGGTTTGGCTACCTGTGGATTTTTTATTTTAATTTGTCCACAAAAAGTTAAGGGTTCTGATTTTTATTTCCTCTATACTTTTAAAAAGATCCTAAAGATATATATATATATATATATATATATTTTTTGCTGCCTAAAACTTGCATGTATTAGATCTTACATTTTCTGTGCAGGACATTACTGAACTGAAACTGGATATGAAATGTTACTGTAATTCAGATGAGTCCTAAATTATTATCCTGTTCTTTTCAGTTTAATTTTTCTTGCTTTGTTTTCCAAAATGCTGTTTTTCTTTTTCTTGCTGCCAGACTAAGATTGAAAGCACAGCTTTTGGAAGTTGTATTCCTGCAGCTGTGTAAGACCACAAGCCCTGAGAACAAACTGCGGTCAGTGATACCTTGTTTCATGGCAGAAATTGCCCAAAAGAGAATCAAAATAAGTGTATGCAAGTAAAGATGGTAACTCGAAGGCTACAAGAGGATTATGCCCCTCACAAAAATGGATATGATAAGTTTTCAGGACAAAGTTTTGATTGTGTTCTAAGTAATAAGCAGAGGGTAAATGGGATATTCCCTTTGTGCAAGGAATATATTCCTTTTAGAAGGACAGAAGAAATCCAAAGTACGAAATACAGCTTTCTAAAAGTAATTCTTTTCTCCCTTACAGCTGCTATGTCCCAATACCTCACAAGCAACAAAGCAGGAGCAGATTCCAGGTGCTTTTCCCAGCATAAACCCACTTTAAAAAGCAGGACCTTTGCAGTCTTCAAAGCAAGCAGGAGGCAGAGCCAAAGCACAGCAGGCACCCCCAGGGGTTACCTGGGGATCTCAAAGTCCTGTGAAGAGTTGGGTCTGTTTGTTCCCCGTCCTCTGGGTGCTCTCCCTGCGGGTTTCTTTCATAACTGCTGCCTTTCAAGTACCAACGGGGCTGGCACCTCAGAAGAGATGGCAGAGGACAAGAGAGATAAGCACGCCTTGAAAAAGGGAACTGTGGATTTAACCACAGGGTGGAAGGCTCCAGACAGGCACAGTCCAGCACAGAAATGGGTTTATTTTATTTATTGAGCGTTAATTATACGCAACGGACTGAGAGTTCTCTGATGACTTTTCAAGAGCAGGAATGTGATGACTGACTACAAATAACCTACAGTTACACTGCTGATATCCCAATTTATTCGTTCCCTAGAGAATCAAATCCAGACATTGCTGGAAAACTGCATGTTTTGTCCGGATATTTTTATGCCATCCAAAGCTCCGGCCGCACAGCCATGCAGACACCAGTAGCATTTTGGGAAGTGACCGGTACCAGAGCAAAACCAGCTTCCAAATATTGTGCTGAGAGCTTTGAGCTGTGATCCATAGGGTTGGATAGCTTCTGCATTGCCCAGAGAAGCTGCAGATGTCCTGTCCCTGGAAGTGCTCAGGGCTGGATGGGGCTCGTGGAAGGTTTCCCTGCCCATGGCAGGCATTTGGAACAAGATGATCTTTAAGGTTCAGCCCATTCAATGACTCTGTGGTGGCACTGCAGGCTCACAAACAGGAGAGAGAACAGAATCCAACCCAGGGGAAGACCTTGCAGAAGGTGGGACTGTATATGATGGAGTTATAGGAAGGATGAGACCTCATTAACAACCATTAACAACCTGGAATCCAAATTATTAATGTGCAGGTGACACAAACTCAGAGGGGAAGTACTTTCGGGTTCAGGATACAATTAAAGCTCCGGCCAAATTGTGAAAATGGGTGTAAATCAATGTGGGCAAGATCTCAGCTGCATTTAGACATTATCAGCTGTAAATTTAGACATTAATAGCTGTAAATAATCAATTATCACTCATATCACTGATATCTGCTTTGCAGAACAGGATGGGGTTTTGGGTCAGTGGAAGAATCCCCATCCCTGGGGTGATTTAAAGCTGTGTGGATGTGGCACTTGGGGACAGGGTTTGGTGGTGAGTTTGGGGAGCAGCTGGACATGATGATCTTAGAGGGCTTTTCCAAAACAACGACTTTGTGATTGCAATGATTCAAACATTTAAATGCTACCGAATTCCTTCTCAACGGGGAGAAGAAACTCATCAATTCCATCCCAGTTATTTTGCCATTACCAAACTACGTATTTTCCCCCCTGCTATAACTCATTTTCCCCGTTTTAAGTCCTTTTCTCTAAACCGAGATGAAGCCATGGTCAATCTTTCATGTCTTCTATTGAGTGCTGTGTGCAGGTCCGGGCTCCTCAGTTTGGGAAGGACATTGAGACACAGAGGACAATGAGGCTGGTGAGGGGATGGGAACACAAACCCTGTGAGGAAAGGCTGAGGGAGCTGGGGTGGTTTATCCTGGAGAAAAGGAGACCCAGGGGTGACCTGATCACTCTCCACACCTCCCTGAAAGGTGACTCTGGGCAGCTGGGGCTCAGGCTCTTTGTCCTGGCAGCACTGACAGAACGAGAGAACACAGCCTCAAGCTGTGCCAGGGGAATTATAGGCTGGATATTAGGAAGAAGTTTTTATAGAAAGTGATAAAGTACTGGAATCTGCCCGGGGAGGGTGGAGTCACCATCCCTGGATGTGTTTAAATCAAGACTGGATGTGGCACTCGGTGCCATGGCTTGGCCAGGGGAATTATAGGCTGGATACTGGGATATTAGTTTTTATAGAAAGTGATAAAGTACTGGAATCTGCCCGGGGAGGGTGGAGCCACCATCCCTGGATGTGTTTAAATCAGGACAGGATGAGGCACTTGTGCCATGGTTTGGGTGAGGTGTTTGGGTTGCACACAATGATCTGGAAGGTCTCTCCCAGCCCGGTGATTCTGTGATTTTGTGATTCTGTGATTTTGTGACTCCGCGAGCTTTCCGTAAACCTCCCCCGGCTGAGCGCAGGCGGCGCGGAGCCGCTGAGGGAGCGGGGGCGGAGCGGGGCC